TCTCTCTCTCTCTCTCTCTCTCTCTCTCTCTCTCTCTCTCTCTCTCTCTCTCTACGTTTCTATTACTGTCGCAGATGTACGTGGCGCTGTTTCAGCCGCTGCACGTGACGCGTCAACAATTTCGCAAGGTGCTCAACTGCATGAAGGTAATACGTGGACTGAAGTACCAGGAGGTCTATGCCCAGGAGAAGGTAACCAAAGTTGACAGCCTGTCACTGGTGCTCAGCGGCAAGTGAGTAACGAGCCGATAATATCGCCGCTCGATATTAATCGGTAATTTGTGTTCACAGATTGGTCGTATCGCAGCATCAGCGGGCGCTGCACATTGTGTTTCCCCATCAGTTCCTAGACTCGCCAGAGTGGTTTGGCGTCTCGACCGATGACTACTTTCAGGTGAGCAAGTGGCGCTTTGGCCAGCTGCAATAGCTAATTGAACCGTGCACACAGGTGTCCATAATGGCCATGGAGGAGTCGCGCGTGCTCATCTGGCATCGGGACAAGCTCAAGCTGTCCATCATGGCCGAGCCCTTCCTGCAAACAGTATTTGATCACATACTGGGGCGAGATGTGGTGAAAAAGCTAATGCAGGTGACACAGGTGACAATTGTATCATATACAGATGTTTATGTGCCCCATTAGACGTTGCGTGACTAAATTGAAATCTGTGATTGCCGACAGGTGAGCGAGTCAATAGCCAGCAACGGTTTCCTGCCCTCGGGCGGCTATGCGGAGGATGCCGAGGACAAGCCCATGCTCATTCTGAAGAAGAGCGTCGATGTGGGCCACGGACTGACGGCCCTAATCAACCGTCAGCTGCAAGGTGAGATAACAGTGGTTTACACCTGGACTATCTCACATTTGCCTGCTCGTTCGCTTCTTTCTCTCTATCTCCCTCAATTTCTCTCTCTCTGTCTCCCTCTCTCTCTCTCTCTCTCTCTCTCTCCCTCTATCTCTCTCTCTCTATCTATCTCTCGCTGAAAGTTTGATTTTGTGTAGAAGTTGGATTTAAGCAACAGCTATAAATCTTTAGTATAAATATATATTGATCATGCCTCTTGCTTTGTTGCACGTGGGAATGGGGCGCGCGCTTTTGCATGCTACGTGAAGTAAGACAAAGTTCAAAATGAGACAACAAAATAAGTTTTATCAAAATCTAAAAAATTTTGCTTTGCAGTTTATTTAGATCTATTTACTTTTGATTGTGTTTTCCTTCTTTTCATTTATTTATTTATTCTTAACTTGTTGCATTTTGATTATTATTTGATTAACTGTACAAATTGTTGATGTTTCTGTTCGTTTTTTACACTTCGCTATCTAATTTTAGAAGAGCATGTTCCTTTACTTGGTCGCACGTACAAACACACTAAGCAGCAGCTGCCGCCGACGACGCCAGGTGGCGCCAGTTTGGCGGACACCAGCGTTGATCATTACTCCATCGCCGCCGATGCAGCTGCTGGACACGATGGCAGCAAGCAGTCAAATTGAAAACGAGTCCTGATCAAAGCAACTGCTTACACACTCCCCACACACAGACACATTCGCACACCACTACTCACAGATATAACACCATTTGTATATGTATGCCATCAGCGTCAACAGCAACAACAACAACAAAACAGCATCTACCACATCAACTGCCAGCACTGGCTTCAAGAGCAGCAATATTTGATTGAGCGCTAGCGAGCAGCTCTGCACAATGCCGGCATCATTGACATCATCCACAATAGAAAAGTCACCTATAGTAGCATTTATCATTGCTCATCACTCATCGCTCATCGATCATCGATCATCGATCGTCAGTTGTCGCCATCGATCCTCAAGTCAACCCACACACTCGCACTTCAATGTTTGTCTAAACTTTAAGCATACGGAAATTAAATAGAACTGTATCAATGATCGAGCCAGCTTCTGTTGCCAGGCACTTGTCAATTGCTTGCCTCTCTGTTTAGCCTCAAGATAAACGATCAAAGAAAACTATGAAAAAATTTAGCACAAAGAAGCAAAATAAATAAAAAAGACAACAGCAAAGCGAGAAAATTTCCAAGTACTCATGTCGGAAATTTACAAATACATGAACAATAGATTTAAGGCTGGCGCTAAATAGGTATTCTCATTCAAGCAGATCTTCAAGTTGTAGCTCTCAATTCCATTTACGTAGTCATTGATCATGTGTTTGCCGATCCGCCGTGTTTACCAGTTGAATTATACTCTCCACCTGAGTCACAATCACTGAAGTCTACTCCGCTGATCCACATTGTAAAAACTTTGCTCTATTCGAAGATCGTTGACGTTACGTAGAGTAGCGTGATTACTGATCACATATCTCCGATCTAGAACCATTTACTTTAGCAAATTAATAATCTATGTTTGTGGATCCAGTGTTCTGCCTAGCTATGTATAGCTTCATAACTTCAACTGAATCACGATCACCTTCTGCTGATTCTAGCTCCAATCTATTCGAAGATCACACTGTGAAAATTTGCTATAACATGGCTAAGATCCAACAATGATCGTAGCCCAACCGCTTGGCCATATTTGAGTGATCATTGATCACCAATCAACAATGAATTCCTATATCAAATCTGTATATACCGTATATACACACCCATGTATGCGCTCAATAAAATAATTATAATATCAATTAATTAAATGCAATTTCTAAAATGTTTCGACTTCCGTTCCACATTTAATGGAAAATTTTTAACTGTGCGGGCACATTAGCAATTTTTAGTTATAAATATATACATATCATATGTTTGTCTATCATTATCACATTTTTTTTCTCTTTATTTTTATTGGATTTGCGCATTGTGTTCTTTTTTGTTAATGAGTTTGTTTTTGAATCGCTGATTGATTTGCATATTAATTCCATTTGAAATGAAAAAGAAAACGAAGCCTAAATAAAAGCGTAAATTAATTGTAATTAATATCCACACACGTACGTATATATGTATATTTAACGTATACTAAACGATATGCGTTCATATAGCCCAAGCCAAGGGCATATTAGTTGTTGTACATACATAAATACATGCATATATAAAACTGTTATATATCTAACATACTTACTTAGGAATTAAATGAAATGTGGAATCAATGTGAATGTAAACAAACCAAAAACAAAACAAAAATAATAATAATAACTAAAGCTGGAAAATGCAGTTTAATTAAGTTGTTAAAGTTTTTTTTTTTTTTTTTTTTTATGTTAAGTCTCATGCGCTTTGCTGCTTGGGCTCACACTCGGGCTTGCGTCTCAGCTAATTGAGCGTCGAGTGCATGCAAAGCACGTACACGAACCCAAACGAATCGAGTCACGAAAGAATTACGAATGAAAAGAAAAAAAAACAAGAAAGAAAGCTCTAGTCGAGACTGCTCGACTACGAGATCCCCT